AATTCTCCGCGGAGATTACCAGTTTCCTCGTTGATTCTGTATATTGATGATGAACGCAGCGGGATCCTCATGAAATTCATTTATTAGTGTGTCCAACGATCTATTCTGTTGAAATATTGATAATATTGTTAGCAAGTAATATAAAGGAAAATCTTACCTAAATCAAGGGTTGAAACTAATTTATTTCTAACGTTCATATATTGATACCTAATAGAAAATCTAATATTGAATTTTAGCGTTCATAATTTCGATGTATCGAATCAAATGGCGAATGAGAGTCGCCTCTCGAGTGCAAAGGATTAATCTTTAGAGCTGTATACTATTTTCTGTTACTTTTTCCCCTATTGACCGATTATAATCGGTTGTAATTATTTATAATATCGATAATTATCTACTAGGTGTTCGGTATTTCTCAATCTAATTCCACTACCATTCTCTAATTAGGTTTTCTTCTTGTATCCTTCGCTTTCCATTCTTTCTCGCAATATCTTTGTTGGTTCCTGGTACAGTCATTTTAACGATTCCGCTGAATGATTCGACGTTATTTTCTTGGTACGATAGTTTTCTTCTGGGATACTTCCTATCTTGAGTGAAGTGGCAATGGAATTGTTGGACACAGTTTTTCATTCTTAATTGTTTATCGTTTCTGATAGTGCCTGACCATGATTTCTCGAGCTACTGGATGTGTCATCGGGATATTTTATTCCACAGATATTTTCAGTGTCATGACGTGGGTTTCGTGGTTCTAATATTGTCTTCGAGGCGAATGAAATTTTCAATCTAATCTCTGGTGTTATATATACCAGGAATATATATTTACGATAAGGAATTAATCATTTCTAAATATTATTCGACAGGATGTATCTATTAGTATTATATATTTAACAATAACACCTATGGAAAAAATCGAAGGAAAACAAAAATCGCTACACCAATTTCTGTGATAATTTCAAAATGGTCGCTTCCCGATGAATTGCAACATTAGAGACGACAATTGATCTCACTGAAAATTCCCTTCACAATTCAGTTTTCTAAAAATCAGCCGGTACGCAATGTTAAACATTTTCTTCGATGTAAATATCAATAAAGAAACCTAACCGCAGAGTGAACTGAACTCACCGCGATAATCGAGAGTCGCAGCGCATTAGAAGGAACGAGCAGTTGTTCCATAGCCGATGATTCACGCGTTTCAAAACGAAGCGGCCGCGTCGTCCCCGATTCCCGAAGTCATCGCGCACTGACCGATTTTACGTCACGCGTGTTTCTCCCTCCGTACGGTCTCGCGGGCGAAGAGGACCCTCGACGCGCGGTGCATGCAGAGAAGTTTGCGCCGCCACTTCACGGCTCCGCGTGGATTATTTGCATGCGCGGCTGCTGGGTTGCGACACGAAACACCTCGCGATCTACGACACCGTCCGCGCGCGAGTTCGCACGTCCCCTCACGTGTTTCACTCGAATACACAAGCCGCGATGGCGAACTGGCGCGCGCCGTAACGTTGTTGCCCGATATGTGGATGGCACTAATCAATGGGTCGCGGGATTCAATGGAGAATCGTTTCTTGGGTTCATTTGGGTAAATTGGGTTAATGAGACAGTGATTTTTGCTGTTTTAGGAATGTTGACGAGCTGAAAGTATATTGATCACTGGATCGCAGGATTCAATGGCGAATCGACATTTCTTGGGTTCATTTAATGAGTTGAAAATGTACTGATCATTGAGCTGCAGGTTTCAATGCAAAATCGACATTTCTTGGGTTCATTTGGGTAAATGGAGGTTAATGAGGCAGTAATTCTTGCTGTTTTAGGAATTTTGAGGAGTGGAAAATGTACTGATCACTGGATTGCAGGTTTTAATGCAAAATCAATAGCTTTTTAGTTGATTTGATGAGTTGAAAGTATACTAATCACTGAGCTGCAGGTTTCAGTGCAAAATCAGGATTTTTTTAATTAATTTGGATAAATGGGGGTTAATGATACAGTAATTTGTACTGTTTTAGGAATGTTGATGAGTTGAAAGTATATTGATCACTAGGCTGTAGGTTTTAATGCAAGATCTATAGTTTTTTAGTTGGTTTGATGAGTTGAAAGTATACTGATCACTGAGCTGCAAGGTTTCAGTGCAAAATCGACATTTTTTTAATTGATTTGACGAGCTTAAAGTACACTGATCATTGAGCTGCAAGGTTTTAATGCAAAATCGACATTTCCTTAATTAATTTGGATAAATGGGTGTTAACGAGACAGTAGCTTTTCCTCTTTTAGGAATACTGATGAGTTGAAAATGTACCGATCACTGGGCTGCAGATTTTAATAAAAATCGTGCGCCTTAGGGATACGAATAAGTTACCCTCGGAGAATGTAAATCTTCTTAAATTATCTATTAACTCCCAAACTCGTGGATTTAATGAACCGGTGAATTATGAGTAAAAAAGTGGATGTCAATAAACCTGGCGAGAATTTTCCAAAAATAGCGAAATAATAGAATTCAAAAGGAACCCGTGGATTTAATCAAATCCATCGATTATCAGGAAGAAGATTACATCGATACTGGCAGGAATGTAAATGGACTACTAATTTATCTCTCAAGGAAGAATTCACCATCGATAGATCAAAATTTTAACGGTAGTTCCATTCACCGATCGATGGAGAACTTATCGGAAGAATGACGTAACAATTAGAATAGAGGCTCGAAAATAGAAATCACGTTCGGCGGGGATGTCAGTGACCCCGTTAACTGGTCATAAACAGTTCGAAGCCTTTGACAGGGTTCAAATGAATGGCTCTTACGAGATCATAAATAAAAAGTGCAAACTTTCTGCTGCTCGACAGGCTGTTTCAAACTGATTCCTCCATCTTCAAACTCTCGAGTGCAAAAAAGAAACAAAATTAACCCTTTTCGGACGAATGTCGACATTTGCGAGACGAAATTTTCATATTTCGAAGACTAAATCGCAAACATGATTTTAAAGAAGAATATTTAGCAGCATAAGTGGCTAGATCGCGACGTAATATGATTACTCTGATACTAAACCGTTAATAATTATTTTCATTATCATTTATCTTTGTTATTAAAGAATAAATGTTACTATTCGAAACGCTAGAAATTCTCGTGTTAACCCTTTGCACTCGAAAGGTTTCCACTAGAAACATTCAGTATTCTCCGACGAGATACAGACGATGTCCTTCGACGATTTTTTCCCACAAATCATGAATGGAACGTAAAGACTTCGCCGCTACCCTGTATATGGTGCTCGAGCACGCGTCGATCGCAGCGGGCAGGAATTTTCTTGTTTACGGACTTGCAACACAACGCCGAGCGAGAAAATCCGCTCGAACTGGCCTCCGGGTCGCGTTAGGAAGGCGGTGTAAATGTTCCCAGCCGACCTAGACCCGATAGAACAACGATGATCCATGCGACGGATAGATCGGACACTTTCACGTTCGGATTCCTTTGGCGCAATGAAACGGAAATAATTGAGAAACCGCGAGAAAACGGTTTCGACGACTATTTAACGACGTAACCTTCGGCCGTACTGCTTCGCGGGGTATAGCGACTTTTCCAATATGGCGACCGTCCGACATATTTGCTAGGATACGAGCCTTCGTGTAACTATGTTCGATTAAATTGAATTGGTTGCGTTGGGAAGAATGGGAATATTGAAACAATGCTATTTCTTATGGTTTCTTTGTAATCGGTCTTTTCCAATATGGCGACCGTTGCAGATAGAACATCGGAATGGAGGTAGTTACTTGATTAAATTGAATTTATTGAGCTGATCTGTTTATTATGTTGAGAAATATGAGAATTAGCATTTAGATGATATGTTTGCTTAATATTGGTATTTTTTTTTGGATTTTCTTTGTAGTTAGTCTTTCCAATATGGCGACCGTTGGATATTAGAACGTCGACTTTGATAGTAGAGTTACTTGATTAAATTGAACCTGTTGAATTGAAAGGAATGGGGATTGGAATTCGTATGACATAATGTTTGCACAGTAACGTCATCTGAATCGGTTTTCGCTCGCAGTTAGTGTCTTTTCCAAAATGGCGGCCGCAGTGCAAAGACTCAACACGCCGAATGTATGTAAATGCGGCTTCGAACAGTCGGCTCAGCTAAGTTGTTTGCAAATAATAAGAGTCGCGTAAGACAAACGCGACGTCTTCATGGAAACCAGCAATACGGTGTCCGAAGATCGATTATGGTATTTAACTCATGGCTACGCAGCTAATTACGCGACTCACTGGAAGATGAGTAACTCAACTACGTCATGATTCTCTGCGTTCATGTAAATTTCTACATTTGTTACATCAAGTTTATTAACATAGGTAAAAACAAATTTTACTTTGGAATATTCTTCGCGTCTACGAAAATCGTTGAAATCGATCAGGAACGCGTGGAATTACAAAATTAAACCTAAAATATCTTTGAAACATTGAAAATATCTGAGAAATTGAAATTTTTCTCTAAAAGTTTAAAAGTTTGGAACTTTGAAAGTTTAAAAGTTTGGAACTTTGAAAGTTTAGAACTTTGAAAATTGAAAAGTTTGGAACTTTGAAAATTGAAAAGTTTGGAACTTTGAAAGCTTAAAAGTTTAAAAGCTTGAAACACTAAACTTTGTACAACGCGTCACTACGCAAATTATTCACATCAGTCGCAACAATCATCTACATTTTATCAAAGAATATTTCCACTCAAAAACTTTCGAGCGCAAATGGTTAAAACATCCCCTATATCTCGTACACAATCAAACCGTGCCACGAATTTTCATTCCCATAAGAAACCGAAAAACTCGAGTGTTACGATCAACGAGAATGCAAATCGCAGCTGGCAATGAATTCCCCAGCGTTAGAATGAAACCTGATTCCACGGGTAATGCAACGAATGTCAATAACTCGGCAGGCTCGTGGCCATTAATCCGTTCGATGGCGAGTCTGGGAAGGCCGGCCTGTCGGTTTCACGAAACGCACGCCCCACCTTGATGGTTTTTCATTTAAGTATGCCGGACGCGTGTCAGGTCCGTTTAGTGCGCGCCGCGACTATTCAATGACTTACGATACCGGTCGGCGAGTCGAACACACCGGACGTTTTCTTCCACCCTCGCTTCGGTCCGTTCCGATAAAGCAACCTGTAATCTCGTACAAACACGCACAGTGAATCCCTCGAACTCCGATCGAACCGTGAACAACTAAACGCTGCGCGTTCGCGGCAACGAACATATTACTTGTTTAATACTTATGAAATAATAATAAGATATTTGAATATTTCGCATATAGTGATATATCGCGAACTTATAAGTTGATCTCATTGAAAAGTCGGCCAGTTTTATAGGAATTAATTAAACTGGTAAAAAACTGACGATCTCTCGAGGAAACTTCGCGTAGATCTTTGGAACGGAAAAGTTGATCGATTTCATCGTGTGAATTAAAGTACGAGTTACTGAGAGATGATTAAACAATGGTAAAAATGGTAACCGTTGGAGAACTGGCAAGAAACTGACGATCTCTCGAGGAAACTTCACGTAGATCTTTGGAACGCAAAAATTGATCGATTGCATCGTGTGAATTAAAGTACGAGTTACTGAGAGATACTGATTAAACATAGTAATTAGTGAATGTAAACTTTGAGGGAACACGTGATTAGTATTTTCTAAGGAGTGATGGTAACAGTGAATCTCCTGAAGAGGCATTGATCTAGAATTGAAGGATAATAAAGGGAACACTTCTAAATGAGTTAATTGCACTCGATAGAACGTGTATTTAATGGCTAAGTGATAATTAGTGCTCGAAGTAATATTATTCCAAGTGAAAATGGTAAAAGTGGAGACTGAAGGGGAATCTAAATAGGACACAGATTCGAGAACTTCTGAATATTTATGCAAAATTACAGTTACAAAAAATAATAATTATTTTTGAAGTTGAAGAATCTAATAAGATGATATTTGAATCTCAGTTTCGCTGGGAAATAAAGCGATCGAGATAAATCTGGATAGATTGCGATCAGATCTGTATCTGAATCTGCGATAAGGATTCAGTGATAATTTCTCTGTCGATCGGAAGGAGATATAGATTTATTTGTAGCAGTGTTTGGCGAAATTAACGAGAAACATTAACGAGAAACCGTTAAAGAAGATAAGCGCCATGGAGTTGATACTGTGTATGGTGCCAGTTTTTTATATGAAGCTGCTCTCTGATAGCTCGGTGAGTTATTGGGGGTCCCGTTATACAGGGTGCTCCAAATGAAATGATCGAAACTACAAGCAGCTCTATCTTTTCATTGTTACGTCCATTTTTTGTATAAATTTGTCGATGTTTACAAATGTATTAGAATAATTAGATTGTGACGATTACGAATGAATTGAAAAATATGACATTTTGTTTAAGAATTGTTCTGAATTTTGAAACAATGCAAATATTCGTATCTTATATATTATATTTAGATTGTTTGAAATTACTGATAAACTGTATCCTTGTTTTATGAGATTATCATGCGAATAATTGTTATTTATTATTGATACTCGTTAATCGACATTCCTCTAACGCTGATAACCACATCTGGAATACATTATAACAGCTGGCAATTATAATTTTTATTCAGACAATCGCGGCTTTGCTTGAACCGTACGTTGTGTTAAAGTTCTCGTCCAATATCGGAAGTTCACAGCGTCCTTCGTGTTTTATCATCATAATAGATGCGTGTTTGTTTTGTCTGCATCAGAACATTGTGAGAATTGTGTTTTCGGTCGGGACGACGTAGATAAACTGAGAAGCGATTAAGCTGCTAAGTATTGCGGTTTTTAAGGTCTTGGAGTTTGGAACTTTGGAAGATTGAGAGTTTAAAGGTTTAAAAATTCAAAAATTTAAATGTTTGGAACTTTGAAAGTTTAGCAGTTCAAGAATTTAAAAGTTTGGAACTTCGAAAGTTTGAAAGTTTGAAAGTTTGAAAGCTTGGAACTTTAAAGTTTTGAGTTCCAAGCTTTCAGAATATCAAAGTTTCAAAGTTCCAAGCTTTCAAACTATCAAAGTTTCAAAGTCCCAAGCTTTCAAATTATGAAACTTTGATAGTTCAAAAGCTTAGAACTTTGAAACTTTGATAGTTTGAAAGCTTTGAACTTTGAAACTTTGATAGCCCGAAAGCTTGGAAGCTTGTAAGTTTCAAAGTTTCAAAGTTTCAAAGTTTTAAAAGCTAGAACAGTTAGAAATTCGACAAAGTGGAAGTTCAAAACGTTCAAAATAAACGACACAAACGACATCTCCATTCGTTGTCAGTGTCAAGTCAAAGACCTCGTAACACACTGCTTTAATCACGTCAATTGACCCGATCCCACTTATTATTAGATCCGACTCTTCCCTCCTCGTTATAGAAATTAGTGGATCGTTACCCAATAAGACTCTGTCAAGGAATCATACATAAAAAGAACGACTAGACCACCGTCAGTAAGTTGGCGCAGCTCCTAATAAAACATTCTCCACACAAGCTCCTCAGAAAATCATTTTCCTCTTACAATCTTTATTACAAAAGCTAAAATTAGACACTTCCTTTACAATCATTTGAAACGGATTTCCTGTCCCCAATTAACATACAAACCTGTCGCGATCGCTTTTCAAGTCATTAATTAACATTTTACTGTCGATTGTATTAAAACCAATAACAACGCGTCGTTTCTCACAGTGACAAATCGATATTGATCGCGTTTCGTCTTTATTCTGTTTGCCCTTTGACACTGGAAATGTTCCGTTATTTTTTCAGGGCACGATAATACTTGTAGTGCATAAGATGCTCAAGTTCGTGTTCTTCTTATTGGATTGGCTGGTCACTCCGCTCATCCTGCTGCAGACATTCCGAAAGCGGAAACGACTGCCGCCGATCAGGAATCATCTGCTGCTGCTCTCAGCGACCGAACTCGCGAAGCGGATTCGAAGGAAAGAGGTGAGGCACATAAACAATGAAATTTTGCGCACATCTACTACTTTCAGTTATTTGTGATTTCAACCCTTTGCACTCGGAAGTTTCTCTGGAAATATTCAACAATTTTTGACGAGATACAGGCGACATTGAAACTAATTTAACACGTTCCGTACGCGCCCCACGCTGAACTTTCCGTTCAAGCCATTGGTTATTGTCATTGTAAAATGAGGAATTTATTAAAAACGTATTATGCAGTCAATTATGGGCATCTTAATGGACGTGGTAGTCATTCTTTTTTACTGCGATCTGTTTTAACGTTGAAAAATGCGATTCCCAATCGGCAAGAGACTGTACTGTAAAAGTTGCAACATTCTGGAATAGTTGTGTGGATGAACCACGTTTACGTTTGCCATGTTTTAACAAAGTTCACCGTAGTATCCCTTCCAGATTATGTACAAGCTTGTCACGTAAATATAATATTAAATATATTTCAACTAAAATGTTTTATTTCAAACTAATACAGACATCGCAATTTACACGTTTCTAACTGAATCTCCTGTCACTGCGTTACTCGTCCGCAGGTCAGCAGCGAGGAGGCTGTCAAATCGTACATAGAAAGATGCCAGGACGTGAACCCGATCGTGAACGCGATCGTCGAGACGAGATACGACGCGGCGGTTCAAGAGGCACGAGCGGTCGACGAATTTCTGTCTCGTTGCACGAAAACCGAGGAGGAACTGGCACGGGAATTGCCGCTGCTCGGTCTGCCAATCACGGTGAAGGAGAGCATCGCTGTACAAGGTTCGTTTCATCCGTCGTTTATTGTCGCCCGCCGACGCCCAGGTCTGGTTTGACCCGCGCGTAAAAAACCAATCGTTTCGTTAATGGCTAACTTATGGTCACACTTGAAAATATGATACACATGTAAAAATTTGTTTGTATGTTTGGAGAATATTTCTACAAAATGGAAAAAATTTTATTGAATTACATTATTATTATCGCACGTTCATCGAACTGAATGTCACCAGAATCTGGAGCATTATTTATAATATATACACCATGGCATTCAACGTGTTAACGAAAATTGATGCTTGAGAATTTGATCTGTAAGTGGACGACGGTGGTAGAATTCCACGATTGTGAAAATGACAGGCATTTCACACGTGATTATGGTTAACGTTTGTTACACAAGATGACTCCTGAGAGATAGTGCGCTCGAAACGGTTCCATTTATAAAATCGGCGCGTCGTATTGACGAAACGTATCGTCGTTCCGACGGAACTGGTTTGGAGTCCGTTCTGCGGATGTTTCATGAATAACGCAACCTTCTGAGTTCCGAGTTACAGACATTTGTGTTCGTTTATTACAGATTTCTTTTGTAGTTAGTCTTTCCAATATGGCGACCGTTGAATACTAGAACGTCGGCTTTGATAGTAGAGTTACTTGATTAAATTGAATCTGTCGAATTGAAAATAATGGGGATTGGAATTCGTATGACATAATGTTTGCACAATAACATCATCTGAATCGGTTTTCGCTGTTAGTGTCTTTTCCAAAATGGCAGCTAGTGTTTCCAATGTGTCTAGTTATATGACACTCCAATGAATTCAATTGATAACGAAGGAGATAACGAAGGAGATTGTAGTTCTAGTTCTTTAGGCGGTCTAAGTGTTAAGACTGATGAGGATAAAAGTATCTATATGCAAAAGAATATTCGGTTGCAGCAATGTATGCATCATTTTCTTTTACGCGAGCGGCCCCGTGGTGTATGGGAATGTTGTCAATCCGCGTGTCATTGAACTCAGGCGAATTACGGGAGAAGAAAAGAGGAGGAAGGTGAAGAAAATAAGCCGAGTAATGTGGGACACGGAGTTCCACCGCGAAGCCCGCGTCTCCCACGCGCCGCAGAATATTCACGCGAACCGGCTCCGTATCTCGGAACCGGTTTACCGTCGGCGCACGCTGCAGCGAATGGGTTCAAGATCTACCGTTGCAGGTGCTCAAAAATAATCAATCGGAAGTCGGCTCGGCGAACCGCGTCACGGGAGAAACGTGATTTCCCAAATTAGGGGCGAAGAGGGGAATCGAAGCACCCAACGATCTCCGATGAAAAAATTCGATTTTGTGAATAAAATCTTGTAGAAATAATATCTAGAAAACAAATTTCGTGTATCGTTCTCTATTCTAGTCTGGAATTCGTCATTTATGATGGAACGCTTGATGATAGAATGATCTATATTAAATTACTACGTAGAATGACTCACTGTTCATTTCAATGTTTACAATTATTGGAGAGATAACAGATTCTCTGGGAATCTGTTAAAATTGATTTATTAATAGAAACTGACTTCTAAATCTTGATAACTATTGGATTTTCCATGAAAAAGTTAAGACAACATCGTTGCTACATTTACTGTGCTAACTGTCGGTCTCGTCTGGTCGATGCTCGAAATGTTTCGATCCACAAGGACGCAACTTGTTTGAACTTTCTATCACTAACAAGTTACCATTTTAGCACTTTCGTCCTCTGCACATGTTCCCGCACGCGTTCCTCGGTTCTTTGTCTCTTTGTCTGCTCCCGGAGAGTTATTCATCCTCCGTTAATCGGTTCTCGAATCTTTCGGTGCAGATGCACTTGAGTCATCCGCTTCCTAATGCGTCGTCCACGCGTATGGGTTATCGTTAGGTTGCGGATTTTATGGAAACTCGATAGTAAAGAAACTAAGAAAATTTCGAATTTTCGACATTTCAACAGGTTAACTCAGGCTAAAACTTCATATATCGAACATTCTATCTTCAACTTAACTTTAACATGATGTGTAACAGTCGTAAAGAAACTACTATAATCTTGGGAGACTGAACAATTCTGTGATTGCAAAACTCCAAAAATTTCTCTAAACTTCTAACATTAAGACACTAAATATTTTGATTAAATGTCACGTGTATCTCTCGACAATTATGTAATTGGAGATGCTTCAACGTTTTCTCTGAGAACTTTTGAAGTTCAGAATTCAAGGTTTCAGTTTTTGTTATTGTAAATTGGGTTTTTTTGTAAACATGTCGTTTAACATGTTGCAGAATTAAGATTGAGCGTGTGAACGTTGATTTTCAGGCATGTCTCATTCAGTCGGCGTGAAGAAGAAGATTGTGGACAGAGCGGACGAGGACGCGGACGTCGTCGCCAGAGTGCGAGAAGCGGGAGCTATTGTTATACTCGTCAGTAATACACCGGAACTGTGTCTGGCATGGGAAAGCAACAATAAAGTAACCGGTTCCACCTGGAACCCTTACGACACCAGCAAAAGCGCCGGCGGTTCCTCGGGCGGCGAGGTTTGTCCTCTTCGATACGCAAAATCAACATTCATTTTAACCCTCTACGAGCCGAATTTCTGTTCATGATTATAACAGAATCTATACAGTACAAAATTAATAAATATCCACATACAGAATTTACTGTAAATGATTAGTAATCGATTTGAAATGAAATTGATAATTTAAGTAATTTCTAAGTAAATACAACAGCAGAATGTTATCATTGAAGTCTCCACGCCGGTGACTTCGATGCGTGGTGAAGCGAGCGAGCGACAATATGGCGGCTACTCGGTCGGTAAAGCGATTTCACGCAGAACCCTCAACTTTGATTTTCACTGAAATTAAATCGATAGAAACATTCTATAATGAAATATTCCATCAGAATTAAGTTTAATGTTCATATTTTCTTTTTGTTTCTATTTCAGGCCGCTCTTTTAAGTTCCGCCGCGTCTGTCGTTAGTCTTTCATCCGACATCGCCGGTTCGGCTAGATACCCTGCCATGTGCTGCGGAATTTTCGGCCACAAACCTTCAGCTCGTGAGTATTTCTTTTCTCGTCGAAACAATCACAAATATTTCAATTTTCTCCAAAATCTAATTCTTCGATCACTCCTATCAGAAACACTATCTTTCACTGTAACTTCAAACACTAAATTCCATTGGACACAACAGGGTACATAATTGCATTAATTACAGACACGGTATGCTGCAAGGGTCACAAACCATTCTCCAGCGACGAAAATTGGGACGATTACTTCTCTATTGGTACAATGAGCAGATACGCGGAGGACCTTCCCCTGATGATGAGCGTGATATCTCAGACGGATGATGCTCGTCGTCGCTTCAGTCAAGAAGTAATCATTTAGTTAAAACATTAACACGTTAAGCGCCACGAAAATCTTAAGCGTTTTCCCATAGAGTTTGTCTCTTGTAGCAAAGAAAAGCAGGAAGAATTATGAATTGTTCCGCGTTGCAACGTTTGCGTATTATCAACTTAGTTGCCTTATTAAACATTTTTATTTAACATCGGTTGTCTTGTATGTCACGATTGGTTTTTAGTCATTCAGAAGCGTCAGTCGCCAGTGACTGACATGGCGCTTAACGTGTTAAAATAAAACTCCATATTGTATAATGAAATTTCATTAACTCGACGATCGTTTTCAGACGTCTCTGAAAGACATGAAGTTCTTCTACGCCGAAGAATGTTGTGGAATAACGACGTCCATTAACAGCGACATGAAAGCAGCCATTCATAAATTAAGAAAATACCTTGAAGCGACTTACGGTGCCAAGGTGCAACAGGTTGGTAAACACAAGCGGCAAACGTACTCTCGCGGGACTCATTAGAATAAGAAGTAAACTCATTAATCCATTAGCGGACATTGTAAAAGGGTTTGGAATAAAACGATCCGTTCCAAATCGGCGTTACTCTATACGAATATTCTTTTTCCAGGCAAAATTGCCGGATATGAAGTACGCTTTCGACATATCAGCTCGTTCTCTGTTGAACATGGACGTGGACGACGTTATAAAGGAATTCGAAGGACCGGTACGAAACAATCATTCCATGAAAGATACGTAAGGCAGATGACGAATCGGATCAAAATTGAAAAAGAAAAAGAAAAATAAATATATATAGAGATAAATAGGTATATGCGTGGTCAATATAGTTAATTAATATTATAACCATTACCGGGGTTTCAGGGTACCCGGGCCTTCGCCATTGAAAATAAACAGAATTAGTATATAAAAATTAACAAAAGATAACCAAATATGCAAATGACTAGATAAGTAAATGCATATCCTACAATACTTTAATCTACGCTAAATATTCTAGATACTACAATAATGTTTGTGTTTTTACTCACTTCCGAAGATGATCCGATTCGCCGCGGTCTACCTTATATAATTTATTTAAATTCCAATAAATGTCTGCGTACCTTAATGCATCTTTGTATCAAACAATCGCACAGATCACGTCCAAAGTCTTCCTGGAGTTGATCAAGTACATCTTCTGCGTGTCTCGGTTTTCCTTCTCGATGGTGTCTTATGCGATGGTGAAGTGGTCGTACAGCAAATTTCCGCAGAGGTTCCGACACAAGATGGACGACAAGGCGGTGTCCCTGAAGAAGCAGTTCGATGTAAGGAAACGTTTGGACGAGATACAGTTTGAAATTGAAATATAACTTTAACACTAGCTTTACGGACATTTATTCTATACTTTATTCTATTGTTCTAGGGAACTACGTGTTCGTTTATTTAAATCGCGAGAATTGTAGCTTCGAACCAGAGTATTGCGACGCGTATTTAGTAATAGTTAAGCTATTACTAAATAATGTTTAAAAAATCCAATATCCGTCAAATTGAGGGGGTCCGTAAACCTAGTGTTAATAGAACGGAAACCAAAAAGTCAAGATTCTTCGTAACAATTGTACTACTTCGTGATTGCAGGACGTTCTAGGCGACAATGGCGTACTGATTTATCCATCATTCATCAGTCCAGCTCATTACCGGTACCAAATGTACACGAGAACGGCGAATTACACTTACATGATGCTTTACAATGTGCTGGGGCTGCCAGTGACGCAGTGCCCCATAGGATTCAACAGCAAAGGCTTGCCTGTTGGTGTTCAGGTGATTTTCGATCATTCAATTTTTATCAATACTCAACGTTTAATTTTTTTGTAATAATCTAATGGTAATCGTTTGTGTTTCTTTCACAGATCGTCGCGAACGCTGGCAACGATCACCTAACCATCGCCATGGCCAGAGAGATAGAGAAAGCCTTCGGCGGCTGGAAGCAACCGCCGACAACGGAAATACCGGTCTGATCCTTATCAGCCACGTTGTAGATATTCTACAAAAATCTACTTCATACGCGCAACGACGTGGAACCATCGCGATCACGTTAAGAAATATCGAACGTTTCCCATCATTCACACGCGATTGAATTCATCGTTCACGATTCCCCATCGACAGCGAAGGACTTCCATTATCGCCGCCATCTTTGTACATAAGGATGATATTCCGATGTAAAGAAACGTTAATTAATCTCAGCTAAGACGTTAGATGCTAAACCAGCGTTGCAATTCTGCAATTTGTAAATTACACAATTATTGCGTCGGTGTCTTTGTCGAACGAGTTTTCGAAGTACACAAAATGGAAAGAATACAATATTTAATCATTCGACTGAATTGGATTATTATCATTGTACGTTCATCGAACTGAATGTCACCGCAATGGGTAGCATTATTCATAATATAGAAATGTTTGCGAACAATCGTCGTTTAATTGAGCGAAGTGTAGTAATTCAATTTGGTTGACCGGCGACCCTCATGACATTCAACGTGTTAACCCTTTGCACTCGAGAATATTTTTCTCAACAAATATTCGTTACTTTCCGATAATAAAAAAAATTCTGACATAAAGAAACACCTTGCATAAATTAAGTAACTATTTTATTTCCATGTGTTGATGCATTATAGAAAAATTTAATATTGAATTCTAAATTTTGTCATTTTCATGGGTCAAATCTCGAGTGCAAAGCGTTAATTACCGATGGATTACTTAGCGATTCATCTAGCGCGCGAGACTGCGAAAGAAACTCAAGTAATTAAATGATGAGAAGAGAATGTACGGTATAGATTAATTAGAGCAACACCGAGAAAGCGCTAATTAGCGTCTGATACGAATGTACCAATTACGATACTTGAATTTTGAGATTCTGGAATCATCGACTCCAAGCGAAAGATCACCTGTTCCAGATCACACACCCGAGAACCTAGAGCAATAAGATTGACGAGTTTCCTGATTACTGTTAGATACTTTGTAACTTATTTAAATAATCATAGGACTACAGGTTTTATCGATTATATTATTCATGCACGCCGAGCAAGTCCCATCGACGATCCGTTTCGATCTACAATCGTCAGATGACGCCAGTTCGCATTATTTATGAGAATATTCAAACGCATTTGACAAAAAGAATGGAATGTTTCACTTTGGTTTACAAGCGTTAGACGTATGTGCTATAAGAGACGTTAAGTCTTCCACTAAATTCAAAATGTCCGCCATCTTGATGATCTCTGGTACATACTTCTACGATACCGTTTCACTACTATCCATGTTTTCTCCTATTTGTTAGAGTATTATTTTTTATATGTACATAATGAAAATAAATACAAGTTGTCTGTTGAAGAATCCGATTGCGTTAATTTACATCACAATAGAAATTCCTATACCCTATCGAGAGCTTCATTAGACTGAAGAAGAACGCTCATTAACATTCATTCGACTGTTGATTACATCATCTGAGCGCACCGGTGACGCGAAGAAAGTATCACACAATTTTAACACTAGGTTTACGGAACGCGTCAAATTGACGCATATTGGTTAGAAATATTATTTTGTAAAATACGCCGATTTTGATTGACGCGATCACACTGACATCTACCCCAGTTACCTACTATCAAATCTCCAGTTTCCACAATCTAAATAAACGAGCATCAATTCTTTTAGGAAATCTAGTGTTAACCAGTTAACTGTGGAATTTAATTGGAGAAACCTCTGGTTTCGCAGGACGAATGCGCGTAGAGTATATTTTAACCCTTTGAACTCTGTAGGCTCCAATTATGTCACCAGTTACAATATTCAATATTTCAATGAACTAAAGAAACTACCCTAATATCATTAGATTTTCTATTATCAATTGTTAGATTTTCATTAACCCTTTGCACTCCAGAAATTTGTCGCTGGAAATATTCAATTCATTTTTACGAGATATAGATGACACTTTTCTTCAACTAACTTAACGAGGAATCTATTCGCAAATTAAGGGGAACAATAGTCTGACGCAAGCAATAAATAACTGCTTTTTATCGTCGCTGCAAAAGAATAATTGAACTCCGATCTTTGAACTCCACAGGCTCCAATATTGCACCAGTTATAATATCAAATATTTTAACGAATCAAAGAAACTACCCTAAAATTATTAGATTCTCCACTAATTGGTAAATGTTTAAACCTCTAATTGCCAAGATCTGAACATCAATTTTCCAGAATAGACGGCAATGAATAAAGCTAGAATCATGTGCCTAAAATTTAGAGTAATATTGATTATTAGGATTAAGATTGTGCTAGAAATAGATACAACTAGTGATCATTATAATTATAGTCACTCATACATTATAAGTATTAATCACTGATTATATTTATATAACCAAGTTCTAGATACTGCTTTCTACCCTAAAATCATTAGATTCTCCACGCATCCAAATTCCGTACTCAGAAGGAAAATAAAAGATCGAAGGAATGTTACATTTGAAAGATCAAAACAAAGAATTACATGTTTACGTGAAAAAATCAAGAATTCATCGCTGAATAGTATCACGTCAAGCTTTATGACGTGTATACTCGTCAAACACAGTTAACTGGATAAACAAAAAGACAGCGCTCTCTTTCCGTCAAACAACTGGCTCCATCTGTCCAAAACTGAATTCTATAAATAAAACTCAATAAATTACGCGATACACTGCGACTGTTTCGGTTTTCATTCAAATAACTCTATTGTTTCACCAATCGTTTCAAACATTTCAGTTTCTCGCGCTTCCTCTTCCTCGCGGCGTGTCTAATTGTACAGTGTAATCGACAATCGTTAATGACAGTTATTCACAACATGTTACTGTGACGAGTAAGTACTTTTCTGCTATAAAGCAATAAACATTTCGATAAAATTTTATATGTTTTTAGCGTTTTTCCTCTCCTTTTCTCGACAGAAAAATTTTCGATGATTCTGAATCTCTTGCTACGAGTTTTGAATACTGTAATCAGCTTTTTATTTTTGAGTACTGTATAATCAACTTACGAGTGATTTATTATTTGTATATTAATAAAATATAAATTATTATCTAGCATAATTTAAACTGTTATTCAATAAAATAGACCCCCATAAATTTTATTGGATTTTAGTTTAAATATACAAAATTATAATATTTCTTTATGTTATTTATTGACGTTACCTGATGAATATTTATATTCGAATGAACGAAGATTATAAAAATTTTTCTTTTCCCTCCGCTATCTCCGGCCGTAGATCATCCCTGTTCGACCAGAGAATTTTCTGATTCTGAATCTTTCTGGTAGCTCTGACTTCTGAATACTGTGATCTTCAATTTTCTGCTCTTCGGTATTATATAATCTGCTTACCAGCGGTTCGCTAATGATATATGGAGTCTCTAAAAAGAGAAATTGGGAATATCAAGAGTTCGGCATCTGGAAGCTATAAAAAGAAAGCCTCGCTGGCCTAGAAAAACCGGAGAAACGAGTGAATTCTTGAATGACTGGATAGGATAGTATTTATTTATTTGTTTCGTTAAACTTTACAGGAATCGGAAAATATTTAGAATTCACTTCTGAGCGACTCGTATGTAGGTAAATTTACGTTATGTTACGTACACACGTCTCATGCTAGTTGCATCGACCCCGGAGTTAAAAATACAGAGGGGCAAGAGCATCCGCCAGAATCGGACCGCCCTAGTTTCGGATGCATAGTCATTATTGGCGCGCAACAATAACAAAGGACGGAATCGAGACCGAATGCGAGGTGAGACGATAGGGAACAAAATTCTGCTTCAGTTTGGAGGCTGATGGAGCTAATAGAGTAGTACGTTTTCATTTAGTAATTCAATTGTTTTGGGAAATTTCTATTTAGTGATTCAATTATTCTGGAAATTTCCCTTTAGTGGTTCAATTATTGTTGGAAATTTCTATTTAGTAATTCAATTGTTTTGGGAAATCTCCATTTAGTGGTTCAATTATTGTTGGATATTTATATTTAGTAATTCAATTATTTTGGGAAATTTCCATCCAGTAATTCAATTATTCTGGGAAATTTCCACTTAATAATTCAATTATTTTGGGAAGTTTCCATCTAATAATTCAATCATTTTGGAAAATTCCCATTTACTAATTCAATTATTCAGGGAAATTTCCATTTAGTAATTCAACTATCATTAGAAATTTACATCTAGTAATTCAACTATTCACAAAACTACAGACAAGACGTTAACGCGCGTAGAATTCGATTGAGCTGTAAAAAACATGTTAAGTTAATCACTTTCAGAAGAATGGAAAATACATGCAATATCAAATATACATCACCTGACGCTGCTGAAAATAACAAGGAATTTGCATTTCCGTCATTAACATATTCGTATAATTAATCTTCTCTTAATTTGCCGATGGTTTCGGGTGATCAGTATCGTTCACATCAAATACTGAATTCTCGTTCTCGCTCATCATATCGATCACTGAAATATTCTAACTCCAATCCACAAGATAATACATACAGACCATTTTTTTCATTGCCACTGTAACAGTTTCTACTCGTAACTAAAATCGAATAGGTGTCCCAACTAAATTACTTCGATAGAATAAAAATAAATTACATTCAGTTGTATAAAATAGGTCAAAACGAGTCAACACGGATAGCGAAAGAAAAAAGGATAATATGAATATTAATAAGGTAGAAAAAAATACTCGAATAATGAGGGTACAGTATATATCATTAACCGACAGACTTTTATGTGAAATTCAAATTTCCAAGAATGCGATCGACAAAATGGCACCACCAAAGAAAATGGGCTTCCCTGGCGAATATTCCAAGAACCATTACTCAGATATTTCCCATGTTTTTCCGTACAATATTCTGTCCGTAAATTTCATATGTTATTAACAAATTCCCCGTGAACAGAGAAATCGTCGTCAACACTCGACTACAATTGTTTTCACCGGTGACCATGGCGGTTCATAAGATTTATAAGATAAAAGGAATTTTTCTGAAAAGATTTTTTTAAAAAAAAAAAGTTAAAAATTATCATATTTTTCCCACCCTTCCGTGCGTCGGCGACGCGTTCCACTATACTCTGGTTCTGCCAACAAAATGGTCCCGCAGCCGGTGACCTGTTGTCAGTGAGTTCTGTGAGCCCGGAAGAAGCGGAAGTCGATCGATTCAGTGATTGGCGTCGCAGTGTAGACCGTATGTATCGTCGATTAAATGATCCCGAGGGAATCATCGTCTTCGAATCGCTGTAACAATAAATGTGCCTGAATTAGAGTCGGTTAATTTCAATTCGAGATCATCGGGTGAGGATCATACGTGTTTATCATTAATATTTCCCGTCATTAATATTTTCCTATCTCACGAGCAATTGATTTTTCAAATTAATCCGATTTCTTTGACGATTATAATACTGACAATGATTTTTACAAATTCACGGGATTTCAGTCGGTCCGCGAGACGAAGATATGCAATAAAATTGTTCGGTCAGCGATTGGGATAAATAAAAAGATACAGTGTTGCGAAACGTCTGTTACATGTTAAAAGTGTTTTTGCTTTGCTTTTTCAATCGTACAAATTGCTTGGTGTAAACAGAGACCGGTCCAACGTTGATGCCGGAACATCGAATGGTAATGTGTCATTTTTTACTGTCATTCGAATTGCACTACATTTTGTTATGGTAATTATTACGTTGTTTTATAGAATCTTTACGTCACTGTATTATTTATTTGCAACGGTCACTTATAAACTGCTGTCGAATGGCTAGTGTGTCTTTCGAGATTCGAAACGCTTCTTACTATAATAGTTAATAATAATAATAATAATTATTATTAGATGTGCCATTTCAAAATTATTTCACAATTATTCAAATCGTTAAGCCTCATGGGAAATTACCAAAATGAATTGGTGTACTCGTTATAGGCACGGTGAACTATTAGTTAAGAATAATAATTATTATTAATAGTTTACCGTGCCTATAACGAGTTTTAGTATTATACAGTAGCATATAGTAGTATTAGTAGTCATAGTAGTATTTTAGTGGTATACAGAGAGAGAGTATTATTATTATTATTATATAATATAATAATATAATATAATAATGAACTATTAGTTAGAAATTATAATAATAATTATAATAATTATTATCAGTGAGTTATATTATAATACTTATTGTAATAATAATTATAATAATTATTATAATTATTATAATTCTTAACTAATAGAGATCACTATGCCTATAACGAGTACACGAGTTCATTTTGCTAATTTCCCAGATTATGCTTAACGATTTGAATAATTGTGACATAATTTTGAAATGGCACATCTAATAAATATTCTATTTATATTATTTCGAATAAATGATTGGTTAGATCAGTGGCGAATGAAGTGGACGAGTACACGAGTAGAATTCATTTTGGTAATTTCCCAGGCTACGCTTAACGATTTGAATAATTGTGACACAATTCTGAAATGGCACATCTAATGCATATTCTACTTGTGTTATTTCGAATAAATGATTGGTCAGATCAATGACGAACGAAGTGAAGGACAGTAAGGTGGATGTAAATCAGTAGGAAATACGTAGAACTTTGGGTTGCGTGCAATCAATCCGCGCAATGGTGGAACTGTTCACTCGAACTCCACGCTTTCCGTTTACGCGACCAGTTTCGAGTTGGATAACTTTGCAAATAAGCAACTGACCAAAAACTGCAGCGTAATCGTTCCGAAGGTTTCACTGAACACCACCTATTGTCCGAGGAAAAAAAATTCTCGTTCGGTCCATTGATTACAAAACAAAGCGAGATAACGTTAAGCTCAAACTGTCACGTACCGTGACGTGTGTACAAAATTTGTTTAATATAAAATTTTCTTCCTTCCTTATGTGAGATATTTGTTACAAAATTTGTTTAATATAAAATTTTCTTCCTTTCTTACGTGAAATATTTGTTAGATTATTTAGTCATTTATTTATTATATATAATTCCTGCTAACGGTTTTCTTGTTCTATGCTATTCTTATATCTAATTTCTAATTTTTAATTTCTAATTTCTAATTTCTAATTTCTAATTTTTAATTTCTAATTTCCAATAATCTATATGTTTGCAAACTCTCTTTCAATGGTTTATACCTATATATAATACTACCTATATACCTATATATATATATAATTAATATTATATATATTAACAATTGTTTATTGTTAATACCTATTATCAGCTACTAACTGTTTTACATTAACGCTTCACAACTACTGTTTCTTCGGTTGCACTAAAATATTTATAATAAATCATTCACTCCTATTTCTTAGAAGCCTGCGATTGATCCTAAACTATGGAAACATTTCTGTGCTTTCGGTCCGCAAGACTAAAAATGCAAATTCATATGAATATACATAGTATTGTAATGCCCGCTGGAAACCTACTTACATAATTCAGTGTAAAAATATTCGAATGATGAATCAATCAATATTGAATTTCACATTGGAAATTCAAATTGAACGCATCGTGCGTGCACGTTCCTGCGCGTTTTATTTTTGGAAATGAAATTGCCCCCTGATAATCTTAATTCGTTATTAAATTCCTAATTATCATGAACACTATGAAAAATTGCTGAGAATTCCCATGTATAAGTTCCTATGCATATTACGGGAAAAGTTCCCATGCATTATACACCTGTATAATATTACAGAATTATCAAAAAAATAATATTACAAAATTAACACTAGGTTTACGAGCATTTATTGTACACTTCGTTCTATTATTTCTAAAAGAATTTATTTAAATTGTGACGCTCGTTTATTTAAATTGTGAAAACTGGAGATTTGATAATAGGTAATTGAAGTACATATCAGTGTCCATCATCAATCAAAATCGGCGTGAACATTTACAAAATAATATTTCTAAAATCCAATATGCGTCAATTTGCGTTCCGTAAACCTAGTGTTAAAATTGTGTGATACTAATGAATGTTAATGAGCGTGCTTCTTCAGTCTAATAAAGCTCTCGAAAATCATGGAAATCGAGGAGTGTTGATACATTAGAAACTGCCCCATTAGGAGCGTGTCGCAATGGAGGCGTCATTAATGCATGATTTCCCTTAGTTCTGCGCAGGTTTAGTTCGCTGGTGGTCGAGTAAGACGTGAATGCGAATGCGTGGCCTGTTTTAATTATCGCGCCTTATTTATCTGTTTTCGTTCCTCTGCTCCATACGAATCGCCAATTATCGAATCACGAACCGGCGATAAACCCCCAACGACGCATGCCGATTTCACAAATTATGTTGACACGCTCGCTGTGTTCATAATAAAATCAACGCACCGTGGTCACGTACCGAACCGTTCGCGAACGATTGATCTCCTTTGTACCCGCAATACTGAACAGTTCGGTGAGTTAGCGATCATCTCGCTGAACGGGTCTTGCAATTAATCCTTTGCACTCGACAGGTGACTCTCAGTCACCACTTGATTTGATTTGCAAAATTATAAAGTCTTGTATATAATATTAAGCTTTGTATGATGCATCGATATATGGAATATTGAATTAAAAGAACTTTCCTTCTTAATTTATATATGTGTTCTCGTTAATTAGTTTCGAAGGACATCGTCTGTATCTCATCGGAGAATACTGAGTTCCTCATTAGAAATATTCAACATTTTCCAACGAGATATAGATGAAATTTACAGATAAATTAACCCTTTAAAATTATAAAGTCTTGTATATAATATTAAGCTTGAAAACCGATTGAAACATTTACCAAATGATGTTTATAAAATTCAATCTGCGTGAAATTGACGCGTAAATCTAGTGTTAAGAGATACTATAAAAATGAATGGAGTACTAAGGGTTGAACGATAAAAAAATAATTACTACCAATCTGATATCACAGTAGTGTTACACTATTATGTAGTTGCTTGTCACTAAATATTCCTATCTGAATTTTCTTGCCATTGTTCTCGAGCGATTTAAAAACTCCGGTCATCGACGACCGGAAGTCAACGTGTTAACACTTTGCACTCGACAGGTGACTCTCAGTCACCACTTGATTTGATTTGCAAAATTATAAATAATATTAAGCTTTGTATGATGCATCGATATATGGAATATTCAATTAAAATAACTTTCCTTCTTAATTTATATATGTTTCCTTGTTAATTAGTTTCAAACGACATCGTCTGTATCTCATCAGAGAATATTGAATATCTCTAGTGAAAAACTTTCGAGTGCAAAGGGTTAAATACAATTAAATACAATTACTATTAGAAATATAACTATGATAATCCTGCCTCCTAAAATGATACATCCTGCTGAACGTCTAATACATTGTCAATGCAGCAATTTAATTTTTTTGAATAGTAGATAATTACAACAGGCTGATATGCATAATCAATGCTTCGTATTTGTAATCTGAACGGAATAAAAAAGTTTATGAATACGAAATGAGGATTGAAATGATGTAACAACGTTTTGCATTTATCTTCAGATAAGATTTCAGTTTTCTTTAAATATTCTTCAGTTGCATGTTTCAATATTATTCTGAATGAAAACCGTGATGTTTCTCTGAATAGATTAAAAAAGTTTATGAATACGAAATGCGGATTGAAATGATGTAACGTTTTGCATTTATCTTCAGATAAGATTTCATTTTTCTTCAGATGTTCTTCAGTTATACGTTTCAATACTATTCTGAATGAAAACCGTGTTATTTCTCTGTGACAGGAACAATGTGGCTACCAATCTTCATCACCATACTACTGCGCATTGAGCGCTTCATTCTTCGACCTTTCTTCATGCTCCTGCGATTCGGAAAGCGTCGACGGATCCCGCCGATCAAGAATTCCCTGTTAAAGTCGAGCGCGACCTCGTTGGCCAAGAGGATCAGGGATCAAGAGGTAAGACCACCTTTCGAACCATGCATTTCCATTCCTTCCTCTTGAAACTATAAAATTTGATACTTAATGTTACACCTTATATAACGCATCGATTTGAGAAATATTGAAATAAAATAGCTTTGTTCCTCGATGTACGATTTCTGGTCGACTTAGTTTCACAATATATCGTTTCTATATTATCAGAAAATGTTAAAATATTTCCAGTGAGAAACTTCGGAGTGCAAAGGGTTGAAACAAACAATCAACTTCGATTTTAAGTTATCTTGGAATAATGATTTACTTGTTATATCCAGATCTCCAGCCAGGAAGTGGTAGAGGCGTTCATCGAACGCATCAAAGAAGTGAACCCTTACGTGAACGCGGTGATAGAGGACCGGTTCGAAGCGGCTATAAAAGAAGCCAAAATCTGCGACTCGAAGCTGCGGTCAGGGGAAGTGGTCCCGTCCACGCTGGAAAAGGAGAAACCGCTATATGGGGTACCGGTCACCATTAAGGAGAGCTTGTCTCTTAAAGGTGAGTGGTTTCACCGACCGGTTCAAAGAGTTTCCTTTAAGCAAACAGTTCTCGATCAGTGGACTACGGCTACTCGCGTAATCACAGAAACTTCGTTCATTTAAAATAATTATAGTGTTACTATATTATAGATAATGAAAAGGTGGATCTTGAGTGATCGAGAACTAGGAATAAACATATGTATTTAACATTTTGCACTCGAGAATATTTTTCTCAATATTCATTACCTCCTGACGGAATGTCAATGATATTTTTTGCAATCAACATGAGAAATACCTTGCATAAATTAACTGACAGAACTATTTTATTCCGATGTTCCGTGTGTTCGTACGTTATGTAAAATTTAACACTAGGTTTGCGGAACGCGTCGAATTGACGCATATTGGATTTTATAAACATTATTTGGTAAATAACGAATATGAATCCTGATTATCTACTTCTACATCTACAATTTCCAAAATCTAAACGAATATCAACTTCCCCAGGAAGAATAGAATATACTGTACAATAAATGCCCGTAAACCTAGTGTTAGTATTAAATCTTCAATTTTACAATGTTCTTGGGTCAAATGAAATGACTGGAAGGCGCCTCTCGAGTGCAAAGGGTTAACAAAATATGGAAACAACACGGACAACACGCAAAAACAACTCAATTTTATAGCCTGTCCTTCACTCACACTCTTACATTCACTCTCCTTAAAAATACCTTAACCTACGCTAAAAATTCTAGATACTACAATAATAATTGTCCCATTGTTCACACGAATCTGTTCAGGCATGTCATATACCGGAGGGAACTTGTCGTTGAAAGGGAGAAAAGCCACGGAGAACAGCGTCGCAGTGCAAATGGTGTTAGACGCTGGTGCTATTCCCCTGTGCGTCACGAACACTCCGGAACTCTGCTCCAGTATCACCAGCACGAATTTTCTGTACGGCACGACGGTGACCCCGTATGACACAACTAAGTCGTCTGGAGGATCATCGAGCGGAGAGGTAGTGATTCAACTGATTGCGGTATCTTGATTGCAGTCTTGGCTACTGAAACAGAAAATGGGATGTTCCATTAATAATATAAAATATTAATGTACAATACTCCATAAATACTAGTATAGAAAATTTCACTATTTCATTATTAAACTACTCTAAAATTATTAGATTCTCCGCACATCCAAATTTTGTACTAACGAGGAAAAGATCGAAATGTCATAGCATTTCTAATTTTCGCTAGGAATACTATAAAGATTAGTTGCAGTTGCTGATAGATTGCAAAACCTGGAGTGCTAAGGGTTAAGGGGTTAAAAATTTTTCACAATTCTTCGGTTACAAACTTGCAGTCGATTTTAAAATTTTAAAAAATTAAAGAAATTAAATTAAAAATTTTTAAATTTTCGTGTTCCTCGATCGTAGGGTGCATTAATCGGTTCCGGAGCTTCTGCGCTCGGTTTCGGCTCGGACCTGGTCGGCTCCATAAGAGTGCCAAGCCTGTTCAATGGAGTTTTCGGTCACAAACCTTCCGCAAGTAAGGTTCCTGGAAATATGTGCAACCCTTTGTACCAAGTAAAGATTCTATTAACCCTCTATGAGCCAAATTTTGTTTCGTGATTACAACAAAATTGATGCAGTATGAAATTAATAAATATCCACATATGAACACAAATTAACAATGTATTCAATAGTTTCAACAACTTTATTGAAACGAATATTCTGTAACTTTGAAATTACAACGTTGAACGTAAACGCCTGTGCGTACAAAAGTGGTCAATTATTTAATGTCCTTTGTAATTTTGCAATAAAAAATTAAATACGTCAATTCAACTCGGTATATTGACGTGTGACTTCAAAGTCACACGAGCCTATAAAGGGTTAGTCGATCGTTTAAATTAAACGCACCTTTTCGATTCGATTGGAAGCATCTTAATCTGTTCCCTTAAATTTGACTGATTCGTTCGCAGGCCTGGTTCCCACTGTAGGACACTATCCGCATTGCACCGACCCATTCTTCCTACAGCTGCTGACGATAGGTCCAATGTCCAGGTACGTGGACGACATTTACACAGGCTTGAAAATCCTGACGTCGAAATCCGGGGTACCATTACGCCTGGATGAGCCGGTCAACTTGCAGGATATCAGGGTTTATTACGTACAGGATATCAAATTCTTTATGAACCTACTTGAGACTTCTGGAGAGATACAGGAAGTCATTGAAAAAGCTACGCAATACTTGAGTGGTACCTGTGCAAGCGTAGAACAAGTAATGATTCATTTGAATGTTCACAATAATATTAGAATACAGCAAACATTGCAATACAATTAATAATCGTATAACAATCGGTTCTCTAACGCACGTTGCGTTTAACGAGTCATTTCTATTCCAGCTGTCGCAAGAATGGGTGAGCAACACGTTCCTTCTTCTGTTGTGCTTCTTCGGCAGCGCGACGCTGCCTGAAGGATGCGACAAGCCTTTCGACTCTGAGGTGATTCGATAAATTCTTTTCTCTTCCACGTATTTTTATTATGTTACTAATTCCTAGACTACACCTAGGGATTATCACAATTCTTTGCATTTAACACTAAACGTACCGGCACTTTAACTGTCGATTACATTTTGTGCAAAAGGAATGGGTGATTGTTGATTTAACACTAAAACTAGACGGGTCAAAGTGACTCCCGATTCCTTCTTGCAAATGTTAAAAAGATAAATGTTGTTCTGAGAAATTATTAAAGAAATCAGTTTGGTAATGCGCGAACCGAATTGTAAATCACTTAAAGTTTCAATGGATGCACTCTTGTAATTTCTATACACAAATTTCGAAATGTCAATTTATCTGCTTTTTATTTTATTGCGCGCAAACCAGAGGTTTTTCCAACTAAATTCCACAGTTAATTGGTTAAATGTTATACCAGTGATCCGTGTTGTCGGAGCTTTCTTTGCGACAGAGTGGAAACTAATCCGAGACTTCTTCCCGCAGCAACAACACAGCTTCTCCCTTATGTATCTCCTGGCGCTGCTCGGACTGTCGCGGAACACGTTAGGGCTCGTGTTCCTTCGAAGGTTCGTGGAGAAAAAGGGAATGATAACGGAAGAACAAACGAAGCAAGCCCTAAAATACAAGGAGGAGTTACACGAAAGATTGACGGTACGTACGTCGTATACATTATTCAACGGATGAGTTCGCCGGAGGCATGACACTGTGGAACAAATTTTAACCTATGCCGCTTTTCGCAATAACCACTAGGTGATTCTTGCAGAGTTTCAGTTTGAGACCTGTCCGAAAGAAAAACGGGAGGGGTTCCTCTTCAGAAATGTCTGCATTATTCGTGTAATGAATGTTCACAGAAATTGCTGGGCGACAACGGAGTGCTCATAATGCCAACATTTCCGGAAGTCAGTAACTATCCGGAGATACTTTTCTTCAAGATCGATTGTTCGTGTTATACCGCCTACGCCAATATACTGCGACTGCCAGCGACACACGTGCCATTGGGATTGAATAAAAGCGGACTACCTATTGGATTCCAGGTGATCATTCTATTTCCTGTTCATCGTCGATTTTCTCACCTACCTTCCGACCCCTGAAATTTGGAAAAATACACATGAGTTTTGAGAAGTTGCTTTCCACTTTGTCTGAGATCCCAGATTTGCAATAACTAATTTGGGAATTGAGATAAAGATCGATTGAACTAGCAGCTTAGAGATTTGATATTTCTCGAAAAATCCGTCCTCAATGATTTAATTTGCTAATTTTCGAGTAATCAATTCGAAGGTAATTATTAAATTGCAGGTACTAGCTGGCCCGAATCAAGATCGCCTTTGTCTCGCTGTTGCCAAGGAGTTCGAAAGAAAGTTCGGTGGCTGGATACCACCGAACTAAGTTAATTCTTGACGATCTGTCATGTCACGTCATTCTCGAGTAGAAGAACAATTTGCATTGTGTTGTTATCGATTACCGTGGTCTCTTTTACTTGGACATACTGCCGAATAACAGGAATCGTACAGAAATGTTGAGGAAAGATGACAAGCGTATAGACTGACCGCAATTTGTTTATAATGCAAACAGAAAAAGGACACTTTGTTGGCGTTACATGCGGAGCACCTCGCGTACAAATTACTTCTACTGAAACAAAGGACGCAAAGGACCAGCATAAATGTGTAGCAACCGTCGAACTTCGATTACTGTAACACATGCACTATATGGGATGAATAAAAATTGTTTCTATGCAACAATGCAATTAGGACTAAAAGAATAAACGTTTGTTTTTAAATTTCTTAGAAGGCGTTTGTTATTGCTGGATCTTACCTGAACCGTGTCTGCAAATAATATCCATTCACTCTACTTGACCACACAATCACACAACAGCACACACTCCAGAAACACTAAAAGTAAAATAAGACAATTCAGTTGGTACAGTTTAAGAAAATAACATTTAACACTAAGGACATCAAATGAATGGTCCTAATTTCTCATCGCCCATTCAAATCGAGATTAAATACAACAATACAGATTGCAATTTGACATTTCCTTTTTATTGATGTTTCCATGATGAAAACCATAGTATTAAAGTGACTTAATGATAAAGTAATTATAGAATATGAACGAACTTAACGCGATCTCTCTAACAATAGAATAGTTCACTGGGGTCTACGAAGAGCATTCCGCTAATGAGAAAGCGATACAATAGTTATTATTTATTTGTCGTCGAACAAGTGGTGCGCGCACTTCGTTCGCCCCGACGTCGCGTTAAATGTGCAATAGTATGCTTCATGTATAATGAAATTATCTCCGCTAAATAAATCAAAAATAATATTTCTCAACAAAGCTCTGTGTTACACCGAGGAACCATCGTGTCATTATCGTTGCATGCCGTGAAAGCGTGTTCACGCGCCACCAGTGTACCATCAAACTTACTATTATAAATTAACAACATGCGGGCATCCGTAATTACACTGTCTCCCGAGGAAGTTCATTCGAATTTCGATGAGATCTTTTGTTCGACCAACGTGTCTCTCTCTCTCTCTCTCGCACTCCATTAACCTTAGAAAGACTAAACAAAATATTGTGTCCAATCACTTGCCAATGCTTTATCCTTGAGAAATATCTTCATCCAATTGAAACGGACTTGAACGTCAATTCTGATGGAATAAGCACCGATAAATTTTTTTAAATAACCTACGCAAGACGAACGAGATATACTTTCAACACACTGTAACCTATGGAATGTAGAGGCCATTCTCTTAATCTTTCTAGGTCAAGTAATACAAAAAACTCTACCCTTCAATTTAGCGATACTGATCACACCAATACTGAATACGAAAATTTGTCTCGCAAACGAATCGAGATACGTTACTTTACAACGTCGCATCGCGGATCCAGGAACGGAATCGACGAAATCGATGTTGTCGTGGTGTCTACAGGCGTGCCTGTGGCCAACCGCGAAAGGCACCAGTTTCAAGGCACTGTGCTGCGGGTTTACCTTCCAATTGGATCCACGCCGACAAATACAAAAATTCATGAGGGCTTAGACTATCAACGTGTATTAATATTCTCGAGGAATCCTCATTTCCTGCGGTCGCACGGGGGAACGTACGGTTTCCCTCCGTTTTTCTCCCATTCGCGGTTGAACTCGTGCTCCAACACCTCTGCTCCACGTTTCCTGGTCAACCCGGTCTCGTCTAAGCTCAGCTCGCACATCTGCATGTCGTCGATACCTTTGACAGAAAATACTTTCCTTTAGGAAGATGATTTGACAGACACAAACAGGACAAAATAGAGTACTTAATTTTTACTTGAAGCTTAAAAACATGAACACTGATTACCTGCCACCAGTAGGATAGGTGCCTTGTCAGGGTGAAGTTCCATCTGTCTGGCCACGTACTGACCATCAAAGTGAGCGTACCACCATCCTCGTTTACCAGTGGCATGGGGATTGTCTGGCTGTCCTGTCGGAGTTGGTCTCACGAAGGGAATTCTGAAATACCGTTGCGAGGACTCGTTTATCGACTGTTTCATTGGAGTCCTGGGTGTTCTAGCAGCTGAAAGAATTATAGATTTTTTAATTGAATGTTGTATATAATCTGTTTTAGTATAATAGAATATTTAGAGTGATTAGATACAGTATAGGGGGTCAGGGTATAAAGGATCAGTGAATTGAATTTTTATTTTAGAATATCATTATGCAAATGAACTCATATGTACCAGCTTCCATGATAGACTTTGGAGCCCTCTCATTTTCATCCATGGTCGTTCGCCTGCGATTTCTTGCTTTCCACGCATGATAGACCTTCAATCTTCGATGGAATTCGTGACGACAAGCCTACCAAAAATATTAATCGTCAGACAGCAGTAATAATAATTGAACGATTATTTGTCTCGTAAATAACATTTACCTCCAACAATTCAATATCGCAAGACGTATTTATAGCGTCCCGCAGCTCTGAGTACTTCCACTTAGACAAGTCGTATTTCTTATTAGCCATAGCTGCCTGGTTATTGCGCACCTGCTCGGACCTATTGCGAAACACGTCGATTAATGCTACGAAACATCAGCGCTCAGGATCAAGTACAACCATTTTTAAAACATTCAACAATCTGACAACTTATTGTGCTTTTTTCAGATTAAACAGATGTTTCAACTTTCTCATATTATTGCTGGAGAGACGGTGTGCCATGAAAAGCAGAAATGAATATAGATTTCTTTAACCATCGATATCACGTGTGTTCTTTTCAATGTTTCAATAGTAACTACAAATTTGGCGTGACATAAACGATCTGCTTTCTGTGACTCACTCTGCATACAGATCAAGAGAGTCGGAATCGGGTGAAATTTAGGGAAGATACATCTCGAACGTCAAACGCTGTTTTCAAGTGCTATTTTAAATGAATGATCGCATCAAGCAGGATACTATAGTCTCAAAGTTATATGCACGATTAAGAGTGTAACAGACTATTTAATTACCACTATTTGAAATACCATTTTACCCAGCATCGAAGAGTATGTCACTTGCATGTGCAGAGGTATGTACATCATGCAAACGTAATAACAAACGCCTAGAGTTTTTAGTACGAGGAGAACCCATGTTAGTGAGTTAGTAACAATCGCGTAACGTTCTTCATATCAATGTTAGTCATACGTGCAGTAACCTAAACGAGTATTTACGATACCTTGCTAGTCTGTTGTTGTTCGACGGTACTCGTACATCGGAACCGCTATACATATTTAAGAAAATAAGATCTTATTGTTTGTTTAAAAAAAAAGTTACTCTTGTTAAACACTGACCAAGTTTCTTTTTACAAAAAATTCGTTTACTTTTCGTTGCACCTTTTTTTTCTCTACTCATGTTCAACTACTATGTCGAAGAGATAATCGAAACGTCAGATACGAAACTGATACGATACCTTCGGACAGGCAGCGGCGAGTCCTCGACCTGCCCATTCGATTCTTGGGCTAATCTGACCGCTAACTCGTGATCTCTTCTTTCTTGTTCCAGCAGCTCGCGGAATCTGGTTTCTTCGAACGCTTCCTTTTCCATTTGCGCCTAGAACGTAACAGTTTCGACTTTAACGTGGAAACAGTCAACGCTGCATTGCATTAGAAACAATAGCTATTTTCTGAACCCTCATCTTTCATGATACAATTGTGACTTATCATTTCATCAAGCAATGAACGCAAAATGAATGTAAGGATGATCTTGTTAGAAATTAAATAAGGTACACACATGAAGAACAGCAGCAACCTTCTGATCCTCCTGTTCTTGCTTCCTCTTCTGCTCCTCCTCCGCCTTTCTTCTCGCTTCGATGTCATGTTTCTTCCGTCTGTTTTCTTCCTCCTCCCTCTTCTTCCGTTCCTCTTCCTCCTTCCTCTGCTTCTCAAGTTCCATCTCCTGCTGTATCTTCCTTAATCGCGCCTGCTCCTCGGCGATCTTCTGCTGCACCACCATGTCCTGAAGCGACGCCATCTGTTTGTTCATCTGATTGACCAGGTTCGTGTAAAGGGAATCTATCTCGGCCGGTCTGATCTTCTCGTTGTCCTTGATCCTCTTAAGCGCAGCTTCCAAATCGTTCTTAAGCTTCTTTATGTCGCCCATAGGCTTCTCGCGGTTCTTCAGCTGCTTCGACGTCTCCTCCATACCGATCAACTGGGTCTCCAGATTCTTGATCTTCTGGGTCCCTTTTATGCGAGGCCGATGCTGCTTCTCAGCTATGTACATCCTAATGGTCTTCTGCAGAATGATCAAGTGATATCTTCGATAGATGATCTTGTTCTTCAGCTTGATCACAGACAGAGCGCAGAACTGCATTTTGTTCCATCGCGACTTGAGCAACCATTTCTTCACATTGGCCACCAACTTCCTCAAGTTCTCCGGATCGGACTTCATGATCTTGTCGAACTCCGCGAACTTTCCCGGCTTGAAGAACACTCTGGTGATGCCGAACTTGAAATCTTTCTTGTTCAACTTCAAGCTGTGAAGCAGCGCCTCGCAGAAGAACCTAGGCTCCAGTTTGGCCAACTCCGGTGGGAGGTACGATTTGTACATGTTGTAGAGCTCCTGGAAGGGAACTCTGCTAGGATATCCGTGCTCCATAAGCTCCAACACGGAAGTCATGCCGGAGCAACGAAGCTGTCCCAGAATGCTATTGCCGTCGAACTGGTGATCCACCATGTCATTGTTCGGTTTGATGCAACGAATGAAATTTGTACCCTGAAATATTCCCAATAATGTTACCCAACTGATACAGGAAAACTTTATTCACTTCCTATGCAGTAGTGCCTTACATTGCTCTTCAATTTGTCCATAAGCTCTCCCAACTGAGTTTTGAATTTACTCCCAACGCTGATGAAGGTAAGTTTCCCCTTCTGGCTCGAATTGTTGGCGAACTGAGTTCTGAGGAACTTGTTGTTGCTCTCTTGAATTAATGCTTCCAGAGACGCGTGCAGTGCGTCGTTGTTCTTCTCTATGAACTGATTCTAAAAGTAAACATTTTTCCAAGGTTATGTATTCCAACTCGAAGCATCTTATACAATGTCAGTCATTCATAGTATTATTCCCATAGCACGTACCGTCTGGTAACAGACACCACCAGCGTAATGACGAATCACGAATCCTTCGTCATCGCGCAGCTCCCTATGAGCCTTCAAACGCGACGTTCGCGGCAAGGTTATCCTGAAGTGGCCATTCCACACACGGTGGACCTCGCTGGTGAAGTGTGCAAAGCTATGCGTTGGCAGTTTAGATTCCTCGTCCAGCAGACTGAAGACTCCCATGTTCTTCGACTCGATTAAATCTGGAGTAACAATCTGAATGTCGATTCTTTGTTTGAGGTTTGAACGCTATCATCGAATGTTGATTACCTATACAGTCTTGGTTGTCGACGTAAGATATCTTGGGCACGTTAAGGGATTCTCTCGCGTAAAGGTCTTGCTCGTACTTCAAGATCCTCTCGTTAAAGAACTGCTGTAGCTTCTCGTTGCAGTAGTTTATGCAGAACTGTTCGAAGCTGTTCACTTTAAAATACTCTGCGGAAAAAGTAACGTGTTCAGTTCAAATTTGGAATAAAAATATTCTGTTCAAACGTGCTGTCAAAATGTGATTACCAAATCCTGCAATATCCAAGACGCCAATGTAGTAACTCGAGGCTTTGAAAGGAATACTTTTATTGATACGGCCGACGATGTGGTCAAAAAGTTTGCTATAGATGGCTTTGGCCAGAGCGTCCCTGGCGTTGTTGGCTTCGTAAACCTTCAACGGTACCCTGAAGACGTCGATGAAAATTAGTAATCATCGTTCCCCTTGAATTTCTTGTAACGTATAAACTTACATGATGACAGTCCCTTTGATACCGCCACGACTAGTCTGCATGACCTTGGAGACCAGAGCTTGCCTGAGCTCTTCAGGATCGACGCCCAACAATTTGGCAGACATCACCACTGCCTTCTCAGAGCTAGCGCATATTCTGGATCCACCCTTCGTGTCCTCGGGATTGTCTTCGAATGTAATATTACCAAGGTGAAGTACTGCAGCCACCATCGTATAAATTTCCATTCTTTCTGCCTCAGTTAAACCCAGTCGCGTTAGCGCCTTCAGAAAAAATGGTCTTTGAGAGATACAAGGTTATCGTTGCTTAAAAGAAAAATCAGAAATGTTCTTGTTCTTCCAATGAAACGTACAAAAAAAACGAGAAAAATCAGTACACGATGGGAAATGTGCTATGGTACAAGAAACAGAAGTATTACCGTTGCTCTTTCCTGTGTCGTGTCAAAATTATCCAACAGGCAAAAGGAACAGAATCAAAAATCAGTGTCACTGTTATTGCAAAAATGAAGTACAGTACAGTCTCAAAGGTCTATTAATTAAAAATCAACTAACAAGAAATCACTGATAAAGAATAATAAACTGAACAAGTCAATCATTAAAATTAATCCCACACATATTTTACCTGGTCAATAGCATTGAACCCTTCGACATCATCCAGAATGGGGTCATTCAAGCTACCCTTCATCACTTGATCGCGACTCTTCTGGACGTCGTTCAGCTTCTTCTCCGACTCCTCGTTGCAGAAGTACTGAGTGCAACCGTTCCTCAAGTAGTGAAAATCATCCGGTTTCGTGATCCCAAGTTTCGCGCGGAGCTCGGGCGGCGCCCCGGCGCACATCATGTAAAACACATGGTAGTTCCTCTCGTCGGGACTCTGAAGGCACACCCTCGACTTCTCCAGGAGGTAATGGGAAATGTAACCGCCGACCACCTGGCATTTCGAGTCGAAATGCACCTCCATGAACTTCCCAAAGCGGGAGCTGTTGTTGTTCCTCTTGGTCTTGGCGTTCCCAAATGCCTCCAGTACAGGGTTCGCTGAACAATCATAGAATTTAATAATGCTCCTTCGTTAACGTCCACCATCCAATCATCATCCATTCCATTCAACGACGAAGTGACTTCTAACGACACATACTGTTCCAGCATGGTTTATTTGGTTGACACAGCTGTCGGTACTTAAAGATTTATGGTATGATTTATGCTCGGTCATGTCTAAACACTAAGTCAATTTTGGAAGCGTTTTATTAGCTACATTTTTACATCCAATGTCATAAATGACCAGCAGCTGACATGTCATTAAAAACGGCAGCTCAACCACTTAAACCCTGATTTGTCACTAAGGACACCGCCCTACATCACTATTTTTATATATATACATTGTATATATATATATATATATATACATTGTATACATTATATATAGACATTGAGAGAGACATGGAGACAGACATACAGACACCACAAGTTCATTACTAATCACGCTGTACTCGCTGGACAACACACACACTCCAACTCTGTACACACATACACACTCCTTTCACACGTTCAACAAATACAGTCCACTTTCGAACCAGAAAAGGAGAAGCCTTTTCTCATCATCGCAACTATTTCACACAAGGTTAATTCGGCGTGTGAAAGTGTTACGCCACGTCCACATACCATCCAGAATCTTCTGCTCGATCGGTCCAGCCGTCGACCCCCATAAGTCGCAAAGGTACCGAAGCAGATACTTGGTGGACTCGGTCTTGCCAGCCCCAGACTCGCCGGAAACGATGATACTCTGCGACTGCTTGAGCACTTTCATATCTCTGAACGCTTTGTCGGCTGAAAAAGACCGGATGCTTAGCGACCAATCATTAAATCCTCGACGAAGAATTTACTTAAAGGTTTTACTTAAAGAGACATTGTTAACAAAATTAGCTACCGTTTATCGAGTTTCTGTTATCGTGTTCCCGATTACGATCATTACAGCGATTACTCACCAATGGCGAAAACATGCGGCGGCGTTTCTCCCAAGGACTTTCCCTGATAAGACTTAATGGTTTTCGGCGAGTAGAGATCTCTGACCTCGCAGTACGGATTCACCGCGATTAAGATATTGGCGACGTAGGTCTGTAAAATGATTGACGGGATCAGTCTGAGTGATTTTTATCGGGGCCTCGATAGATTTACAACGGCGGTGGTGTTGCATTACTGACATATATCCTGTCTTTGAAGTAACGTGTCCGTATATTGTTCAGCAGCGTGGCCTCGTTCAGGTACATCAGAGCACCTGGGAACAGAAAAATCGGAGCGGACAGGTGAAAGTGGTCTACCGATGCAGATCCGCACTGGCGGATCACACGGGGCACGGTGGTCCCCGTTCACACCGGAAACAACAATAAATCCCGACGCCTGTTTACGCCAAGTATCTCGCTTTGCGAAACGTACTTTACGATTATCCAGATAGCGGTTAATTAACGAGCCTTGTACCGGATCGTATCTGCCGTTCGCGAACAATGAAAACGGTCGCACGCAGTTTGGCATAGAATCGGCTAGGATGTTCCGGCGTGATAACGGGCGCGGTGCGAAAAAGAGTAATAAATGGAAACCGGTTAATTGGGAATCAGAGTGAACCTGAAAGCGAGCAAACGCTCGATTCAACGATCCTAAATCTCAATTAGATCGTCTTAAGGCAACCGAGCAGTCGACGGTCCGATTTCTCTTTCGCATTTCTTTCGAGTGCTATCGAAAGTAGGCGCTAGGCTCGCTTACTATCGCGCTCTGAAATCTTCGGAAGACTTAAGCACATTTTAATCGAAACATTTAAACATTATCCTATGTACTGTTAACTCTAAGACTACCTAGCAATCGAATTCACTACTTTTTTTCTATAAATTGCAAGTGAACTCACTGAGACTTCAATTTATTTGTTTTACTTTCACGATTAATGTGATTTTTCACAATTATTATTCACGATTGACTATTGATTAATATTCACGGTAATTCAACAATTTCAATGATCATTTCAACAATTTTGACAATTCCTCAGGAAAACTTTTATTTTTTCGATGATCGTACAAGAAGACAAAATGGTTCGGTTCGGTCTCTCTGGTGGTTCTAGCGTTGAAGGGAATACAAAATGGGTATTGTTCGAAAGAAATTGAATTACAATTGTCTTCTACGTCTTTGGTGTACTCCCCGGCAGGGTAAACTTCGTCCAACGGGCAGGTGCGCTGCGGATACTTCGGATCCAGCGGCATGATCAGCGCATCTCCGTCCACCATGTCCACGAATTTGCCGATTATGAAACCCTCCTGGGGGTCCCGCACCCACACCTGCTGGTTCTCCATATCGGCCAACGTTCTACAACAATGTCAAGCAAAAATAAACAAACGTTTAACGATGTCATTCCTCTTCGCCAATGACGGATGAGATCCCCTGTGATGCGATTATCCTTCATTCGCGACGTGCATTGTACCCATTAAATCCAATAAACGATTTTATTATTGATTCGTTAACCAATATTAATATTAATTCAATCAGTACACGACCGTGAGTGCTGGTACCGACAACAGAAGCTAAACAATATTTAACAAAACCATCGTTTCGTGACAACAATGGGTGGGCTCCCTTATGAGTCGCTATTCTTTGCGATGCGTATTTTAGACATTAGACTTAATAAAAGTCTTTGTTATTGATTTATTGACCAATATTGATATTAATTAAATTAGGACTTGATTAAGATAGTTAGTACTAACGAAAAAATCCAAACAATGTTTACCAAAACCATCTTTTCGTGACAACAATGGGTGGGTTCCCTTATGAGTCTCTATTCTTCGTGATGCGTATTCTAGACATTAGACTCAATAAAAGTCTTTGTCATTGATTTATCAACCATTATTGATATAAATTAAATCAGGGCTTGATTAAGACAGCTAGTACTAACGAAAAAATCCAAGCAATATTTAACAAAACCATCTTTTCGTGACAATGACAGCTAAGATCCTCTACGAGCCATTATTCCTCACAACACGCATTATGCGCATTAGATGCAATAAAGGGCTTCGTCACTGACTTATCAACCAATTTTAATATTAATTCAATTAGGACCCGACTAGGAGTGCCAGCGCCGACAACAAAAGCCAAGGGAATATTTAACAAAGCCACCCCTTAACGGCGCTGACGTACGAAATCCTCTACGAGCCATTCTTCGTAAGTCAATGGATTCGACAAAAGGTTCCATTAAACGAATTCAATCGGATCGAAGCGTAAACGCGAAAGGAGAATAAATTCATTGCTCGCGGACGTAACGCGCCGCGCGTTACGCTTCTAAAAGCGAAGAATGCACTCGTTACGGGATCGTAACGAAATTTGAAATTATTATGAGCGCGATTAGCGATTGCGCGCCGTGGAACGGGAACGATTATCGTTTTACCTGGTGGCCGCGTTTGCGCAATCCCGGGCGGTTTCGCTGGCGAAATAATTGTGCAACGTATTACGCCCGAAAACTACGTTTTCGAATCGTAGCTCGGATAGTCGAGGCTTTCTCCGAACGTGCACGAAGATTTCCGGTGAAAGGGGATATCCTCTCGTTTCCGGCCGCTGGATTGCAAGTGTAAAAGGGAATTCCACGGAGACCAGCAGCCGTGACGCGTGGGAGGATTTACCTGTTCACCTTTGTGACGAACGGAGCTGTTCTATGCGACTTTTCTTTCAACGATCCAGATCGCTCGGAGAACCGTTGACGCGTTAACCCGTCGTTCTACGACTTCTTCTACCTGCTCGACGAAACAGCGTTGAAATTACAATTCCTGATTTCTACGAAACTATTTACATTTATTTGTAAATGAAGATTTAATCCTTTGAACTCTCTACGCTACAATATTGCACCAGTTATGATATTAACCCTTTGCACTCGCTTTTAAAAGAATTGATACTCGTTTATTCAGACTGTGGAAACTGGAGATTTGATAGTAGGTAATTGGGATACATGTCAGTGTGATCGCATCAATCATCGGCGTAAACATTTATAAAATAATATTTCTAAAATCCAATATGCGTCAATTTGACGCGTTCCGTAAACCTAGTGTTAAAAAGTCAGTTCACGTTCAGTGGTTCCAGTGGCTGAACAAACGAAACGATGTTGGATAATTGAGAAAGTTAATGGGCCAAACGAGCTCGCCAAACGAAGAGCAAAGTTCTGAATTATCGTTTATTTTCTTGAATAATAAGCAACGTTAAGTTCGCTTCGACACAGAACTACGAGGAGTTGGAAATAAAAACTATGTACAGTTCAGTCGTTGCTTGTCTCGAGATTGGAACGTCGCGATCAGGTTGCGCCGCGTTATTGATAGAAGAAGCAACAAAAGTGCCGCCGTTAAAGCCGTTCGACGGGGACTTAACACCGACCGTAGAACAGTCTACCGTCGAAGGACGTGGCACTAACGTTAACCCTTGTTTCGCTGTTTTCCTCCGAAGAACACGTACTCACTTAAACCATTTAACACTGAAACTACCGAGCAGTTCAACTGACTTTTACAAATTCCGCTGTAGAAACTCCAAGAGTGCATCTGTTCAGACTTCAATCGATTTACAATTCAATTTGCGTGGTGCTGAATGAATTTCTTTAACAATTTCTCAGAGAAACATTCGTCACCTTTCTAATTGCAAAAAGACATCATGGGTCATTTGATCCGGTAGTTTCAGTGCTGATCTCGTCAAAATTCAAATATTCGCGAAAGTGTGAAAAGGTTTCTTTCATTATTTAAACAAATTTAAAAAGGTCGAATAATCGAGAATTATTCCTATTTATCTCAGCTGCTAAAGAACAAGTGTTATCATAAGACACTCAAGATTTCCGTGGCAGTTGTGTTAATCGTTCGCACTCGACAAATATTTTAGCTAAAAATATTCATCAGGTTCTCATGAAATTAATCGACTCTTACATAAATCAAAAGAGGTATTTGGTTTCGATGTTCCATGGGTTGATCCGTTACAAAGAACGCGTTCAATTGAAAATTTATCATTTTCCAGCGTGAAATCAGATGGCGACTGAAAGGAGTCTCTCGAGCGTAGCGGATTAAACGGTTGAACACGATCCGCCGACGAAATTACGAAGTCTTTTCGATAACGCTTGGTACCTCGTAGAAAATGTAGGCGTTACAACGATGAAATAACGTCCGGCGTTGCGGCGAGGCTCTTAAGGCGACGATAGACTAATTAATTCGCTATATCCCCGGCCACTCGCGATGCGTCTCGCTCGAAGGAACGCAACGCGCGCGAATATCTCGATTTTTACCGGCTCGCCGCGCGCCGTTATCGCGATAAAGATAACACGAGCGACTTCGAAATCGCTTGCGGATCGCGGAAATTCGCGATAATTCGCGATATTAACGCGTTGACCGCCGAAAGTCCCCTTGACCCTTTGCGAACGAAAGTTGAAGTAAAAAGGAGGCTTTCCATGGGAAACAGAACTATGCATCGAAATATTAACCCTTTTGCACTCGGATATTTCTCTGGAAACATTCAACAGTTTCCAATTAGTTCACATTCTTTAAAAGGAATTGAACGAGGGAATTATATATAAGTTAGGAAACAAAGTTATTATTTCAATATTTCACATATTCATGGATTAAGCAGCTTAATATTATACGTAGGACTTTATGGTTTTGGTATATCAATTCTATGGTAACCGAGAGTCACCTCAAGAGTAAGGGTTAAGTATAAAACAATGAATATTTCAATCCTCGTTTATCTGACTAATTAACAATTGATTTACGGAACCCGACAATTTCACTATTGAATGTTTTAAACACTACGTAGTAATTTATGTCGATTTCGATTGGTGCAATTACGCGAAACGCTTTACAACACGGTTCTGAAGTTATAATTATTGCGATTTATATAGATAAACATGTAGTTTTCTATGAACAATAGAATAAAGTGTAATCGTCCGCTCTAGTGTTAAATTATTCAGTCGCAGCGTTCTATTCGAACGTCGGAGCGCGGAGCCGCCATTGATACGGCACTCGACGGCGCAGGGCGAATACAGCGGAAACTGAAATGTTAAGATTCTTACGTTATCCCACGAACCTGTTGTTAGAAACAAATACTAACATTCTAAGAAGCCTCTTGCGAAACCTTCTGTTGACAGAATGATAGACTTCCGAGTGATTCGAAATCGTTATCGAGTCACATCGCAATTGTCTGTCCCGATGGAGAGGCGGAATGTAAATCATCGTCGTAGCATGTTATCGTCATCGCGACACGTTCTCACGCGGGATAAGGCATTCCTGTCATTGAACCTTTTACCGACGCTTTCCGATACCACAATATGCTTAACGGTACACGCTCGGATCGCGTGTCTTCACGCCGCGGTGCAAATGTCAGGACTTCGCGCGTCGGAAGGTTCATCGTTGCCGAAGAATTTCGAATTTCTACGAAATACGAGAATGCATCGAGAATTTCTACGAAAATCTACTCTCTGAGTATACTGTAATATACAACAGTATTAATAACAATAGTATATTCACGGTACTTCCCACTACGCGCATTCGTCCTGCGTTCACGCTCCATTTTTCGATTTTGCACGCAGAACGAGAGGTTTCTCCAACTGAATTCCATAATTAACCGGTTAAATACTAATTCGCGTGTTCAACAGACACGAATTCGAATTTTCAACGGTCGAATTTAAATTCAGATTCCAACGGTCAGATTCAAATTGGAATTTTCAGGGCAGGTTCATTTCAAATTCAAACTTAACGGTCGGATCGAAACTCATTTCAGATTGGCGAATCTCGCGGATCGCACGGTCAGAGGCTCGCAGATATGTTAACGTTCCCGACGGTGATAGAGGCGGCCGCGTCGCGCATGTTAATCCTCTAATCGAGCAAAAAATCCGTGCATCCTCCCTATCGAGCATCGATGCATGCGAAAGCGGAAAAGGCGGTGGCCGAAGGTGGCGCGGCAGCTGCGTGTTACCGTTTTTCTATAGGTAGCAAGGTGAACGAACGCGGATTCCCGGTTCGCTCTCTGATTATCATTCCCGATACACAAATTATCTCCTCTGACCGTCTTCTCGGCAGCAATATTCTATAAATACCACTGCATTCAACGTTCCATCGAAAAAGTAAAGATGCATAGCGTGGTCACAGATCTCTCTATTCCCAAATTGAACACGTTGTCACGAGAATCTCGACTGTTCCTAGAGCTATTCGTTCGTAGCAAAGAAACGTAGGGACAATTATTCATTATTTACCATTGCAATCCTTGTATCACACTATTATCAACGTGGTTACATTAAACGTTTCTATTCAACGTCGATTACCTTGCGACGATTGTTTTCGAGTAATTCGGAATCCTTG